GTGTGAGTAGTGTATCCTTAATCTGTGTGCTTCAAGTTCCTTGCCGTTTTAGAATTTCGGATGATATTGAGGGATGAAAGTTAACAGCTGTGATTAATCGGTGCGTCTCAATTCCCGTTTGTAGACAGGACTCACACATAAATTTTCGTGATTTAATATTGTTAGAGTATTATCAATTTCAGGAGTATTGCCTCTCGCAAATGTGTGAGACCTGACCTAATTGCAGAACGTATGTGACATACTGTATTGGAATGATTTCATTCCATTGAAAAACTATTATTCGTTGTGCGTTCTTGTAAAATGAATTTCACCGAGTGTGTTTGCCTTACCGACTGAGTCGGAAACTCAACTGGAGATCGCAGATCCACTGGTGTAAAGTTCACAACCAAAGTATGGTGTCACGCCGATCAGATAGATTGCTGATCATACGACCCAAGTCGTGAGAATAGTAAACCGCGGGCTCACACAGCGATGACATGGATCAATATTGTCAAATCAGTGGTGATATGATTTTACTGTATCCGACTTTTCAACAGCCGAATTATCCATGTAGATCTCTTTTGGTTCTATCAAACGATGTTTATCTCAGAGGCATCCACTGAAGTTGGCAATCCAAAAGAGCCGTCTCGACTGCAGACGCCATTCGTTTGCAGTCAGAGTGTGCAGCAAATGGAAATCTCTACCACCTCACGTGATCTGTGCCTCAACATTAGTATCTTTCAAGCGTCAGCTTGATGATGCTCTGGTAAACATGATGTCTCAACACCCAACTATACAATATATTCTCCGGTGCTTGTCAAAAGCATTATATTACTATTTTACTTACACGGACTAACTGTGATCTTGTGAATCGTGTTCCGAAACATAGTGTAAGCAGCCTATGAGATTTGATAAGCAAAGTCTTTGTAAACTTTTCCCATAATAAAAATTTGAATTTGAATTTGAAATCTGAATTTGATCGCTTCATCCTACTTGGTCACGTGTTCTTTGATTTAAAACCAAATTGGTATTTGCAGTCTGTTCTGCACTCAGCCGTGAACATTGTATCCTCGGAACCGATCCAAGAATCCTCTTTTTGAGAATTGTCACAATCTCAACAAAATCGAGGTGCTGAATTCCACTAGTGTCTATATGCCTGACTGACTGACTGAAATCTGAGCCACTGGTCTTGATCTGTGAAAGTACCCCGCCTGAAGCGTTTCGATCATGTGCAAATAGATTGAAATATCACGTGATTTGTAATCGGATAGTGCAATTAATGTTCAGTTCAGTTTCTAGCACAAACCATATGCACCGTCAACCTCCAGGACAAGAGCACAAGAAACAGGCTATATGGTTTTACATTGATTTGCTTTAAAGTCTGCTTCAAGCTTATTTGTTTTTCAATTACTACCGGCCTGTATTAGACTGTATCAGGCAGATTGAACATAATACTTTTGCGAACAAACAGGATATTCAGATGAAATCCTAAAGATGGCATGTGGCACGTGTTTTGTAATGTAAGAATGGTATTTTTCGGCATTCCTATACTTGGATATCGCATAGTTACCACTCACTGTGTCAAAGTCAAAGTCAAAGTCAAAGTTTTATTATGGGAATAGCTTACAAGCTGGTGCTTCTCTTGTCCCATAGGATGTTTACACAGATGAATCGTTACACATCAAAAAAGGAGTCACATAGGGATCCGGGTAGGAGATGGAGAATGTAGGCTACAGTGAATCCCGTTTGCCTTTAGTGTACGAATGTGAGGTGTGCCAAGATTTTGTCGAGTCTCTGCTTGAAAGATTCAATAGTGGGTGCACAAACGACATGAAATGGAAGGGCATTCCAAGATTTGCATACTCTGACGGCAAAAGACTGGCGCCGGCAATCCAGTCGAGACTTTGGAATCAGTTGTTTGAAACGGTGTCCTCTTAGGTGTACATTGTTCGATAACATGAGAAGCGATCGACACGGATGGTTTGGGTTCTGCGGTACTTGATACGTCAAAATCAAGTCTCCTCG